GTTGTTCGGGGCAGCCATCCCCCAGAGCTCGACGGCCGTGCTCTCTCAAAGGAGCACGCCCTGAAGCGCAGCTCACCATTTCCAGCTCTATGTCCAAGAGCTTGCAGGCACCAAACACGGGAGGCTTCACTGGAAGGACAGCAGAGAGGAGGCTGTTAGCGTGGCAGGCCACGGAGCTCACTGCGCAGACGCAGAGCGCGGGGAGCCCTGCAGGCCTGGACCAGTGGGGACACTTACAATCATCAGGCCTCATCTGTCCCATGGGCCTCTGGATCGGGGTGCCGGACACCACAACGGAGGAGGCGCGGCCGTGGTAGCCCACCGGTAAGTGCAGCCTAGTGAGGGAAGACCGAGGGGGGCGAGGCGTCAATGCCAGCACAGGTTGCAAAGAAAACATTTTACATCATAAAGAAGAAGGGCCAATCTATAGACAGTATTCAACTCTCAGGTACCGCAGGGTAAGCCCACCCATGGCCACCAAGTTGACTCGGACACATAGCGGCCCTTTATGACAGAGACCTGCCTCTGTGTGTTTCCAAGGCTTGTCGGGCAGGGAGCCTCATCGTTCTCCCTCATAGCAGCTGGTGGGTTTGAACTACCGACCATGAGGTTAGCACTACCGACCATGAGGTTAGCAGTGCGATGCATCGGGGGTGGGGGTGGGGATGTCCAAATGGTGGCCAGGAAGTCAGATGAGAAAACTTAGCACACAGTAAACAAAAACTTTGAAGTGAGAGTTGCTTAGAAAATAGGATACGTTAACCCTGTAGTGGGGTCCTTAAAAACCCCTTGCTGCTCTGAGACCCGCGTGTGTATCGGAGTTGAACTGTGCTCCGTAACGTCGCTAAAGGCTGAAATTTTGAGAGTGGATTGCCAGGCCTTTCTTCCAAGGAGCCTCTGGATGGGCTCCAACATCCGGCTTTTCAGTTAGCTGTCAAGCGAATGGACTGTTTACACCACCCAGGAGTGGGTTCAATAAACCCAAACCAAACTCACTGCCACCGAGTGGGTCCTGAACTCCAAGGGGCCCCGTAGGACAGACTAGAACGGCCTCTGTGGGTTTGGGAGGTTGCTGATATTTACGGGAGCAACAGCTGCATTTCCCTCGGAAGGAACGGCTCGTGGGTCCAAACGGCTTACCCACCCTGCAGGGCTCAGTCAGTGCTGTGGTGGCTGTGGTGAGGTGCCCGTTAGGACTCACAGTGCACTTACGTACAACAGAACGAAAGAAACCCGGCCCAGTCCTGCGCCTCCCTCACCATTGTAGCTATGTTTGTGCCTGTTGGTGCACCCACTGTGTCAATCCAGGTCCTGGAAGGTCCCCATAAGTCAGAGTTGACT